AGGGATCATATCAGTCTAGTTGGACTGATTTGACTTGCAAGGTCGAGAACACACCTGAGGAGAGATCGGTGGTGGTCGGACCACCTCAGGACCACCGGTCACCGCTGGTTTTGGTTCGGTTCTCAACTGGACGCCGGACCGGCTCCGGTTTGTTGTTATGATGAGGATTGACGAAAACAGATGACTCCAGGGACTATCCAGCGAGGTACAGACCACCAAGGGAATCAAGAAGAGCTGAGGAGGATTGGCAAGGTGATCAGAACACTTGGGCTAGCCGCAATTAGCAGCGGCAAGCAAACCGGCTCTATTTGCCGGTCTTGAGCTCGATCGGTTGTGGGAGCTGGACGGGAAGATCAGGAGCTCTTCCGGCGGTGTTCCGACCAGCAAGCCGTCAAAGAGAGGGAGGCGGACGTTGGAGGAAGTGACCGGAGGGGCGTCATTGCCGGCGTGTGGCCGTGGGAAGAGAAGAAAGCGGCGGTTCGGCGGTGGTTAGAGAGGAGAAAGAGAGAACGCGAGAAAGAGGGAGAAGGAGGAGAGAGTTATGGAAAAAGAGAGAGGAGAGAGAAAATCAGATCAGAGAGAGAAGATTTTTTGTAAAAATGGTCCCTTTCTCAATTTTGGAGGGAAAATGAGTTATATATTCCCCTCAAGACTCAATCTCGATCGTTAATTTGATCCGACGGTTGATATTTGTGCTTATCTTTTACTTAGGGGTTAAGCAAAGACCTCATTTAACATGTGCTAATTTGAATAGTCATGATTTAATCTCATCAGCATTCTTGATTAATTTTGTAATTAAAAACCTAATTAAGGGCATTTTTGTAATTTCACAAAACCTGAGGACTTGTTTGCAAAATCTAAAAATTGAAGGGTATGGGGGAATTACTCAAAGGACGAGTCACTGGTCACCGATCATCGACGACCAGGAACCAGCCAGAGGAGGGCCGAACCGGCCTCCTCCGTCGATGACCGATCGGATCGGTTTTGACCAATTTGATTGGTTCAGTCTTCTCCTTGCACAGTTGAGTCTTAATTGTTCCAAATTTATGCAATTTAGTCCTTGAGGGACTAAATTGAAAGGAAAGATTCGTCAATTTTGAGAAAGAAAAAAAAAATAGGCCAATTTGAAGAGAAACAGTCCGATTTTGATCCAATTAGGCCAATTAAACCAAACTTACGACTTTTATGGATTTAATTACCGAATTGGTCATGAAAAATATTGAACCCATGCCATAGGTGCGCCAAATTGGGTTTTTCCTAAGCTAAATTGGACAATTTTCATGCAATTTCTCGCCAAAATTTGCAAATTAATCGGAATTGAATTCAATTAAGCTTGCAAAATGCTTATTGAACCAATTGCCCATGCTTATAGTGTCATATTACATTCAAATCAACATTGAAATGGATGTGTGACCTTCATGGAAAAATTAAATTGAAGGCCAATGTTGAAATTGAACCTCAATTCATCAAATTAAACCTTAGTCCTAAATGGGTCAACTTGAATTTCATCAATTGGACATCAACAACCCCTAATCCCCAAATTCAAGTGAGCTAAATGTGTAAAATTGGAGAGTTCTCAAGTGAATTTCATAAAATTGACCTCGGATTCGTGTTTATCTCACAAAAACGAGTCAAAGGAAATCAACCATTCGCGAATTGTGAACAATTGATTCAAACCCCTAATTAGGGCTAAAATTGGGGCATTTCATTTCAAAGTGTCGATTCACAAAATTGGTCGCATGAGTGATCTTATGACAACTTCTGGATCAAATGTCGTAAAAGGAACTAAGCTAAAATATGAACAAAATGAAAGTAATTTTATTTTTGGCCGATTTCGAACCAATTTCCGCAAATTGGGAAAAAATAGGTTCTTAATCAATTTTTGCACAATTTCAAATGCCAAAGTCAAATTGAATGTAAAATAAGATGATTTTGAGATTTTTGTATTTTTCAATTTTTTGGTCAAAGGTTTGACCAAAAGTCAAATCCTAGTTGACTTTTCACTAGGAGTTTGATTTTATGATCAAATCTTTGAATTTTTTTGGAATTTCCACTTCTAAAGTGAAATTAAATTTGAAAGAAATCTTTTTATGCAAAAAATCCCAATTTGACCAAGGGTTGACTTTTGGTCAAATGGATGAGAAAAAGTGAACTCGAAAGTCAACCGTTTGACTTCTTAAGTTTTTGCATGAGATGAATAGTAAACCATCAACAGAAGCTAAGCCAACAAATAGAATAAAAAAGCGACACTTTATGTTCAAGAAACAGATTCCGTCGCGATCGAAAACCCTAATCTTGAGTTTTCTGCTTTTAATGACGCGACAACTAAAAATTAGGTGTCAACAGCTAGCATTGCTTCCATCAGTTGAGCCAATTACTTTTGCCTCTCAACTTGGCTAAGAACAAGGTTTTTGGCGTGCCCATGCCCAAGAGCAACAATGATGGTGACTTGTCCAAAAAGTTGAATTGGATTGGCTCGTGGCACTATTGCCTCTTCCTCCGTTGCAAGATTCACCTTAACCTTGGGTTTGTTGAAACGAACTTGACTCGGTTGTCTTGGCCCTGCTCTCCATCGCAAGATTTGACTCTTAATTTTGCTCCAAATTGCCTCGGTCCAAATTGGGGTTTGAAGAATAAGGTAGATGGCTCGATTTGCCCAAATTAGGGTTTGAATTTTGGGCAAACATATTGAATGGCATCGTTAGGGCATTTATGCTAACTCAAAGCACCGGTGAGCCACATCAATCCAAAAAAAAATGATAAAATATTGCCACGCCAGATTTCTAGCATTCCAAATTGGCGATGACACTTTAGTGATCATTTTTTTTAAAAGTGACAATTAAGTAATTTGTCAAAAAATGTTGGCACTAAAGTGAATGTCTTACGAAAATTATGGCACGTCTAGCCTCTTTGAAGAATTTTAAGAATATCGTTTTGTCTTAATTCCTCAAGTAAGGACAAATTTCCTATTTCAGTAATTCGTGGCAATAATGTTACACATGATAGAGTGATCGTAATTTGTACACATATTATAACATCAGTTTTGGTATTCATATATTTAATTATAACTACCGTCTTTATTACATCCTACGGTTTATGTAGTAAAGATATGTAAGATACATGTTAAAAAATTATGCTACCTAATGTTACACTCTTGAAATTTTTTGCTTTCAGAAAAATTCAAGAGTTGATCATTAATAAGGATTGATATGTTTAAGAAACAGAACATTAACCATAAAAGTCATAAACCTATTGTCCGAATGTCAATTCAATCCGAAACTTTTCAATTTGGCCAGTTTAGTTCTAAACTTTTTAATAATTTGTCAATGTAGTCCTTTCGGCCAATTTTTGCATGCAATTACTTACGTGGATATTGGGCATCCTACATGGTGTAGTCGGCACTGATGTGGACAATCTTTTTCTTTTTTAATTTTTTTCTTTTGTAAATTTTATAACTTTTCAGTTTTGTCCTTCTTCCCTTTCTTTTTTTTCCATCTTCCTTTGCTGGCCATGGCCACCGTTGAGGAAGAAGGAAAAAAAAGATAAGAAATAGGAAAAAAGGATAAAAATTGAAATGAATTATAAAATTTTAGAAAAAATTTAAAAAAATATAAAAAAATTATTCACGTCAGTCCTAGCCATACCGTTTAAGACAACTGGCGTCCACTTCAGCGATTGTCAGCCAGAATTAGGTAGAAGGACCACATTGGCAAGTCGTCAAAAGGTTTATGATTAAATTGTCCAAATTGAAAGGTTTAGGACTAAATTAGCATCCGTACAATATGTTTCGGACTTTTTTTATAATTATCCCTTGAATAAATTATTATGGAAAGATTCAAAGTTTATATCGCACATAATTGTTGTGAGCAAATGTCAATAAAATTGTACCAAAGATTTTATCTAGTAATAAGTAAGAAGACAGAAATTGGCATAGAGGCAAAAAGGAAAGAAAGCCAAAATTCATCAGTTTGGAAAATACCCTTCACTAGAAGTCATCATTTATAAACTAGCAATCTTTCGAGAAAAAAAAATACTAGCAATCTAGATAATGTGAAATAGTTTTTATATTAAGTCGGTCTTTTGTTTTTTTATCAAGACAGTTTTATACGAAAGAGCATTTTCTCATTATACATAATAAGTAGCAAACGATAATACAAAATTTCAGCAAAAGTTTTATGTTAATTGACCATTTATTTCCTTCAAAAGGTCGATATGCAACTTCGATATTATCGACCATATGTTTGAAGTATTGCTATGTATTATTTATCTCTTTGAAGCGCGCATAGTAACAAAATATCAATTTACCTATTATTACGAATTTGGCAATAAATAATTCCCAAAGAATGAATAAAACAAATAGTCATTACAATTTGTTGTACTCTTGAAATCCTGATTTTCCAAGTAAGAATTTGGCCCAATTGTTGCTTCCAATGGAGCTTATGTTTTGGATCTCTTGCTCAAAATACAAATACCTATTTTTCAAAGACAAATATGGTGAGAAATACAGTAAATTTCCCTATTTTAGAATAATCCAAATTACGTATTTGGCAATAAATAATTCCCAATCAATGAATACAACAAATAGTCATTACAATTTGTTGTAATCTTGAAATCCTGATTTTCCAACTACGATTTTTTTCCGAATTTGTGCTTCCAATGGAGCTTATGTTTGGGATCTCTTGCTCAAAATACAAATACCTATTTGTCAAGGGCAGATATGGTGAGAAATAAGTGTTGAGCCTTAATCGTGTGAAAACGTTTATTTGCATCTACATATTGGACAATCAATCTTTCCATTAAACAATTCTTACTTTTCTTGAAAAAAAATATTCTGTGGAAGGTGACAACTCGAAAATATTATCCCAAAAATTGCATGCTAGATTTGACAATCACTGTCCTCTTATAAATAGGTGCATTCTTTTCATTATGCTCACACTTAATTTGACATCACTATCATAACTAAATCATATTTTTATTATCTTAAATTAGTGTCTGTAATCATGGCAGAAAGAAGGACAAGAGGACATCGGAGAACCGAGATGAGACAGGTTGAAAATGAGCAAGATAAGCTCACCACGTTCTCCAAACGTAGATTTGGTATCTACAAAAAAGCAAGCGAGCTTGTAACCCTTTGTGGTTTGGAGGTGGGAGTAGCAATATTCTCTCCTACTGGAAGACCCTATTCTTTTGCTCATCCATCTATCGACTCAATCGCAAATCGATTCCTCAACCAAAATGATCCGCAAATTGATGGTGCCGACACCTTGGTCGAGTCCTATCGCCGACTCCGGATGAATGAGCTCAATCAACAACACGATGAGCTCGTTAATCAAGTCAAAGCTGACAAGGCACTAGGTAAAAGGCTAAAGCGAAGGACTGAAGAGCGGGACAGTGAGGGATGGTGGGAAGCTCCAATCGAACAGCTCAACTTGGAAGAGCTAGAGCAAATGAAGGCACGCATGTTGGAGCTTCGGGGGAATTTGCGGAGTTCAATCCCTCTACGGAATCAAGGGGAGAGTTCAAATCAGAGAAACGATCCATCAGCAACCATTGCAAATGAGGACACTACTCCCAGTCATGACATAATAGACAAATATGACTAACTAATACAATTCGTTTTCACGCGTACTTACATAGACTTTTGAGTTGTATCTTACCTCGATAAGAGGTTATAAATGATTTTACTACATGTTTCATATTACTACATATTTCGAGCCCAGATATGATAATAAGAATGGACAAGTTTAGGGGAATATGGCGATTTGTTTTCTTGTGTACTTAGTCTTTTGATTTGTATTTTATATATGATAGATATTATGGATAATACTACTACATATTTCACATGTACCTTTAAGACATTATCCTACGCTGATAGTTTCAAGATTCAGGTTTATCAAGTTGGGGGGTCTCTTTTTTTTGGTCAAAACTTAAGTAGGGTTTTTTTTTTGGTCAGACAAAACTTAAGTCGGGTTTGAACGTTTATTTTCTCGGAAAATTTTAACACACGGAATTTCTTTTATCAAAGACAATTGGAATGCAACTCTTTGGATTTATTCTACTTATTTAGGGCTTCGTCATTTCGCGGAAAAATAATGATTTGGAAAACATTTTCCAAAAAAAAGATTGGTTATATTCCATAAAAAAATTAGTTAACAAAAAATGTTTTCACCATCTACCACAATTTATGCCTAAACAGTTTCATGGATGATAAAAATACATTTCATTCATTTATTTTTATAAGCAACACAAACGAGCATTTTCTAGGAAGATATTTTCCAAATCATGGCGAAACAAACACACATTTGGGCTCCATTTGTTTCACGAAAAATGAATAATTTGAAAATTATTTTTCTAAAAATGATCGCTTGTATCGCTTACAAAAATAAAATGAACAAATAATATTTTCTTCGTCCACAAAAATATTTAGACATAAATTGTTGTCGACAATAAAAAAAGAAATTCATTGACTAATTATTTCAAACTATAGAATCGATCATTTTTAAGAAAATATTTTCTAAATTATTTATTTTTGCAAAATAAACAGAGCCTTTAGTGTTTGGAATGAAAGGGAGCTTGATTTCCCATGAACTGGGTTGATTGGTTGAAGTCAATTGGGCCGTGGAAGGTAATCCTATTTGGATTCTCTCCCTCTCTCTTTTCTCTTCTCCTTTTTTTGTTTATTTATTAGTTTATTTATTTTATTTTTTGTTCCTTTTACTATTATTATTTTTTATTTTTTACAAAAAAAATGTATGCTTTATTTGTCGACAAAAACTTAGGTGTCAACCGTAAGGACATTAGTAATAAAACCAAACAAGAATGGAACTTCCTTTATTGTCATTTTCCAAAAGAAACTTACATGAGGAACGCCATAACGTACCTAAAGCGCTATTAGCCCAAGGGGTTTTGCGGTGAGACCCTTTTTAATTAACATAAGTCAAATTAGTGTACTAAAGTGTTTCATGACACAACCATTCCAAGGCCAAATTTCTCAAACTACTCTCGTGCCTCCGTTAAATTTGTCACATGCTTTATCAGTCTAATTATGAGTTAAGCATTAGCGTAAGAAAATGTTTCAAGACATGAAACACCATCTATAATTTTGTTGACACCCAAAATTACCCCTGGTGGGAATGGGCCGTCCACAAGTTACAGAAGATGTAAAGCACGGCCCACATGGCAAAAAATATGAGAAAGGCCACAAATCAGGCCCAAAGGCAGTTGTCGATAGGACACGTCGTAAAGGTGTCGACAAGTTTAAAGTCACGAGCTTTGCACGTGATGTCGACAAATTTAAGCCTTGCATGTGACGTCGACGAATCCCAGATCACGAGCTTTACACGTGGCGTCGACAAAGTTCAAAATCGCGAGTTTTGCGCGAAATCATGGCAATACGAAATGAAAATTCATTTACACGTGTCAAAAGGTAAAGACACGACCGTGGGCATCAAGAATGACAAGAGATAAAGTGACATGTGGAAGGAAATTGGTTACTACGTGATGCCCAAGGAGCGTAAGCAATATCGACAAGTCAGGAAACAGTTAAAGCACGAAACGTAAGGAAGTGGAAAACGACTTTCAAGGAACGGTTGTCAAGCTGCTCTATAAATACTCAAGGACTTTCAACGTAGAAAGGACCCTTCTTCAACAACACAATGCATCCTTTATTTAGCCTTTATCTTTAAGCACATTAGGAGTAGTATTAGTCATAATCTTCAGATTCTGTGTCGTAGATTCAATTCCGACGAGGGTCTTTATCAGGTTCAGCATTGTTGATTAAATTCCAGTGTTGAGCCACTAGCACAGTGTCGTCGATTAAATTCCGGCGCTGTGTTTAGAGTATAGCTGTTGATTAGATTCCAGCTGTATTCATTCAAGTCGCGTCATTGATTAAATTCTGACATACTTTGAAGTTGTGTCATCGATTAAATTCCGGCATAGCTTAATTTCAACATTTGCAAGTTGTCGTTTCATGGTCAGTATTGTCGAGTTCGACATCATATCAAGTTAGGGTGTAAGATCTACATTGGATTAATAAACGCATTTGACATTCTCTGTCCAAGCTTGACTCAAGACCCTAGTCTCCTCTAATAAAATCCGAAACGCAGCGTTCGGTGAAAGATTTTTCGACGGAGTGACAAACCGGCGAAAACATCTTTTTGGCACGCCCGGTGGGACCACTATTGAGTTAAGTCGAGAGAGTGCTATGCCATGCACCCGGAGTAGAACCAACTCGGATAATACTACTGACGAGCACGCTGTATCGATGGCGGAAGATAATAACCGTGCTGAGACATCATCTGCCCAGTTTCTTCATGCCGAGGTGGCGAACCAGTCTCGAGAAGAGGTCGCCGACATATCGAGGCAGCGTGTTGATGAAAGAAGGCAAACTGAACTCACACCAGTTGTGCTTTCTACCATGAGGCGAACTATTGAGGAAACTCAGAACGAGCTTGCTGATTATGTGGTAAGGCGTATGACTGAAGTGGTTAGACCTTTGATCATTAACACTTATCATGAATGCACACAAGGTCAACATGGAGGGTCCATTGCACCAACCCAACTGAGAACAGGGTCCCCATCAGCACTGGGGGGGTCCTGCTATATAGTTCGGAACAGTGATGCAAACTACTTCTACAATTCCACCCATTCGTATATTACCAAGGGGTAAAACCTTGCCAATAGCAACCAGCAAAGGATTACTGCACGTTAGCGCAGACCAGAATGGAGTAATTGCTCGACAGACGGTGATAGACGAAATCCTCCAAAGGGGACATCAGCTTGCTCAGATACAAGGCCCATATGCTATCCAGGTAAGTCCTCTACCGGTAGTCCCAGATGCTCAAAATCTTATAGCACCATTCCCTAGGGGGCAAGAACATATCCAATAGGTGAACATCCAACCACAACGTCAGACACCACAGCCCGTGGTGCCTAACGTGAATCAGCAATTTCCTCCTCCTATCGGTCCAAATGTTCAGGTCCAGCAACCATTGCCGGCACAGTTAAATCTACCGGTTAATCCACCTCTGGTTGCTCATAATGGACCACCCCAACAGCAGCCCCAGTTACCACAGCAGTTCTACCAATTACCTCATCAAAATCTGAATCCGCCATTACAACCAAATTATATGGTAGCTCCTGCGCCTGTCGCCGGTCCAGCACGAAATCAATTAGTAATGGACCCTGTAATGTGGGGATATGGCTATGATGCGGGATACCTCCAAAACATTTATAGAAAACCATATCCTGATTGGATGGATACAATACCATATCCAAGAGGTTTTAAAATGCCAGAATTTACATTGTTCACTGGAGAGGAAAACCAGTCTACTTTTGAACATGTTAATCGTTTTCTGGCTCAATGTGGTGATGCGGCTCATGCTGATTATTGGAAATTAAGGTTATTTCCTTTGTCCTTGTCGAAAACCGCTTTTACATGGTATACTGCTTTACCTGCGAATTCGGTTACATCATGAGAATAAATGGAAAGGTTATTTCATTGTCAATTTCAAAGGGATGTGCCAGATTTGTCTGTAGCTGATCTCTCGATCATGAAACAGTTAGCTAATGAGTCTGTCGATCAGTTTATTTCCAAATTTAAGAGGGCAAGGAATAAGTGTTTGATCCCTTTACCTGAAAAGACTTTTGCGGACCTCGCTTTTAATGGATTAAAGTTTGAAATCCGAGAGAGAATGGTTGGACAACCATATTCGGATCTGTTCCGGTTGTCAACCATAGCTACTAAGCATAAAGTCTCCTCCAGGAAAAAGACAAAAGGTATGGCCGACGGGGTGAAGTTCGTTAGGCCGATGCTGATGAGAGCGAGGATGAAGCCGAATCAATAGATATAGCAGATACGGCTCTCGCGAAAATGGTGATTGATAAGCCGTACATCTGCAAAACTCTAAAACCAGCAAGAATCAGAGAAAAATCTAACCTCATGTCAAAGGCTAAGGAACCCGTTTTTTATTCTTTCGACATCAACAAGACAGAGGAAATATTTGATTTATTATTAGCTGACGGACAGATTAGGCTAACGGAAGGACATGTTTTACCCACCAAAGAAGAATTAGCCGGAAAGAAGTATTGCAAGTGGCATCATTCATGGAGCCATGCCACTAATGACTGCCTCATATTTAAAAGAAACGTCCAGGAAGCTATTAAACAAGGGAAGATAAAATTTTCTGAAGACAAAGGCAAGACCCCAATGGAAGTAGATGTTGATCCTTTTCCCGTAATGGTAGGAATGGTGTCATTAAGGACAAACGCCAGGGGGCATCAGCCACGTCGTTTTTGCGAAAGTGTATGCGACTTTTGGAACAAGAGAATCATTACTCCAGAAGTCGAAGACTTCTGCCTGGAAAGGTTGTCGATGAATTTCGTGATTTGGCCCTCATTGATTCATATGATAAACAAACTCCTTCTAAGGGTACTAATCATCATAGAGGTCGTCGATGCCATAATAAGGCTATTAAGTCATTTAAGCAAAGGTATGAAGAAGGTGATCCGACTATTGGTACCTTGGGAGAGCCCAGCGGTAAATATGATTATTATGTAAGTTATGCTCAACCACCTTCATACAATGCGAAGATCGAGCCAA